ATCGCTGACTGTGTCTGTGCTACTTGATCCAAAACTTCACTCTGTCACGGACTTCCAAGGTACAAAACAACATCCCAGCAGTAAAACAAGACAAAGGAGTGATGGAAGCTGATGCATATACAGTTAAACCCTGTGTTATAGATGAAATGGTAGCTTTCCTCACTAGGAGCAACTACAGTTCTGTCATTACCTTTTCTCCTTTCATACAGCTTCCTTGATGGAAGCCACAAGATTAAAGGCTGCCATTAAAGTGATCTGCAGTTTGCAAAATTAAGTACTAGGAATACCATAGTCTTGTTAATTAGTACAACTGTCATTATTGTTTATGAATTAAAAAACAATGTCTAATGACAATCATTGCATCTTGGTGCACACTTTGCATTGGTGCTCCTGTAACTGCTTAACAGAACAACGAGAAAAAGAAAAGATACCATCCTTCTGAAAGAGTCCTCTGAGCCCAAATCCACACAGTACTTCAACCAGAGCTGTTCAGGATCAGGCTGCAGAGCCCTTGCCAGAAGAAAAGAGTGTCAATGAAAAGCAGCTCACCCGCCAGCGGGTGAATTCACTCAGGGAGCTGGGTCCATACACAACATTAGTCTGAACTGACTTCAGGAACTTCTTCTTGATGGACTTCACTTGCTCAGCTGTGTACTTCTCAGGAAGTTGGTCACGGAAGAATTCTTCCCAGTGAGCAGTAACCTAGATAGAAAGACTGGGCTTACTCAACAGTGCACTACAGAAAACTAAAGCACAACAGTACTTGTAAAAGCATTTCAGCTGTTAGCCCTGTGGCTCCACTATCCACATGATGGCACTTACTCGATTTATTTGATCAGCACTTGAAGCACAACTTCAGTGCAAACAAAATCCAGTCCCTCAGATCCAAGTTTGTGTGGCAAAGAACATGAACTCAGACCAATGCCTGATTTCGTGCTTCTAGATTCACAGCAAGTGCTCTTAAGACGTCTCACACCATGCTTCACTGCACAGAGCACCTGACAGGTAACTATAACAGCTACGTGACAATGGGCATCTTTGAGTTTTCTTGTAGTTCAAGTGTTGCACAAGCACAGCACACACACACCACCACCATTTATAAATCCAGATATCTTGGCTCCAAAAGGCTTCTGAACCTTGGGAACAATGAAGGGAGAATTTGTCATGAGCTGAATGACCACGTATGCAAGTGGGAGAACCATTCCAGGCACGCAGAGCAAAAGAACAAACAAGTCCTTGTTCCTGGAGCATGCTGGGAGAATCAAGATTACCCTGAGCCTGGTTTTGAACTCCCATTCCTGGGGCCACGACAAGTAACATCAACTAGATGGAGAGGTGCATGCAGCTGGTAAGGAAGCACTCCGTTTCTTCCATATTTGCATGGCAACTGAGTGACCTAGAAACTGGAGGCTCAAACACAGCCCTCGCTGCTCCTGCCCCTGTGGAGCATTCATGACAAATCCTCTTTGCTAGACAAGAATTCTCTGGCTGTCAGTTCCTGCCAGTTTTGCAGCCTAGTACTCCAACAGAGTCAGCACTATGGAAACGCAGAATGTCCTCACACTGATTGAAACTGAAGGTAGAAGTGGCAACAAATGCAAGCAGTGACCAGAGAAAGCAGTAATGAGGTATTTAAAGTACATCCCATACTGTGGCACGGTATTTAGTTACTTTGCAGGTGTTCAGAAGTGAAGAAAATACTGCCCATCTTACCTTGCTGGTCAGCTTACGGCTATTGACACGCCTCACGTGATTAGCCAGCTTGGTTATGTCCTTGCCATTGAGCAGCCGAAGATTTTGCAAAAGAAACATCACTTTATAATCATCATTGAGCTAGAAAGACAGCAGAGTTACAAAAATTGTACACATGGTGGTTGCTTCAGTCCATTTATTGCTTATTAAAATACTAGCCAAGGAAGAGCAGAAAGTATTTATGTGAGAAAGCATACTCCATCAAATCTTCTCAGCGTTTCTGACTCAAATAACTTTCACTTGTAAATTAGGATTCCTCTGTAAGTTGGGATCTTCAGCAATGCAGACAAGTGCCTCGCACTTCTGCAGTACTTGACACCAACACAAGGTGGTGGTGGTGAAGCTGGCCTCTGACCCGCCTGCAAGGCAGGGCATTCTGTTCACATCCTGCAGAGTAAAAGCACTGAGTGCTTTCTAAGGTGCTCTCACTTGTTGCCTAAGAATAACACATGAGAACTAGGTACAATTGCTGTTTATTTCCCCCTCTACGTAACATTTGTAAGAATGGGAAATAACTCACTGTGAGGTACACATTGTTCTCGTAATTTAGCTCTTCAAGCAGAGGGAACTGTTTCAGAGCAGTGACATCTTCCAGCTGGTTGTTGTTGCAGTTGAGGACACGCAGATCAGGCAGGGTTAGACTGTTGGGAAATTTGTCCAATAAATTATCAGAGAGATCCAGTTTCTGTAGATGCCTCAGACGTGAAAACAAACGTGGATCTAAGTCTCCAGTCTTCAGCTGCAGCTTGGACAGGCTGAAAGGAAAAGAGAGCATCAGCTACCTGCGTTTCAGTGCAAAACGAGTGCTGACCTTTACAGGGTACAAGGCCACACCTTGGGACACCCCTCAGTCTGGTTTGAGAAGGGAAAAAGCAGCCTTCCTCAGTGAGAAACTGAAAACTGTATTACAGGAAGGATGGTGCAGGGTTGATTAGCCCATTTAGCTGAAGCCCACAGGGAACTTCCAGCACTGTCAGCTAGGGTCTCCTGAGGACCTAAGCCCGAGTTCCTCTAACAAACAGAATCTCCATCTATAATGATTAGCAAATAAAGGGCCATACACAGAAAATGCAAATAAATCAGGTACATGAACTTAGAAAGCAAGATCACTTCCCACTCGTCATCTCAGAAGCCTAAGCAGCCAAAGTACGCACAAAAAGCTGAAAAGGCTGCAAGACTGAGTGCGACTCCAAGCAGCAGCATCACTTGGGGCTGGGACACAGACAAGGACTGGGAGACTCAGCACAGCGCTCCCCAAATGGACTTTCAGAAACATTACCCTTCAAAATCATGGCATGTAGCTGCATGGAAAAACTACTTCTAGAAATTCACTGCTTCTGCCACCTGAACAACACCTTGTTACCCAGATTCCTGCAACCCACACTCTATGGATAAATTTTCAAGTTTTTCCCTGAAAACAATTATTTCAGCACAAAACTAAGAGAAGTTACTTGTACGTACATATGAAACACAGAGCTCCTCCATCAGCAACAAAAACAACACAGACACCTGCCAGAAATCAGCTAGATGAGTCACTTGGAGTGACCAGTTCTCAATTTAAAAAATATCCCACTGTTATTTACCACTTGGAAAGCCATTTATTGCATTCAGTGACCTCTGAGAGAGCCTGAGCAATAAAACTGCTTTAGAGGCTGCTAAGCATGTCAGCTCACTCTCCCTTTCTGCAATGTTGCAGATAGTAATATAATTGGATTTAGAGCAAAGTGATGGAGGGGAAAATAAAGGGAATGGACATAATGCCAAAACATTAAGAAAATCCTGTAGATCCAGACCAGAAGCACTGCTCCTATTTACACTGAGCAACTGCTACCAAAGACAGAAGTGGTTTCAGAGGAAGGAACACCTCTTAGCATTAGGAAATCAGAACCCAGGAAACATATATGGTGAAGAGAGGCAGTAATTGTGGCAGCTCACTGCTCCTGCACTGAGAACACCATCTCTAATTCTGGGCTTTGTCATGATTTCTCTTATTTCAGTAGAAATGCCTGGAAGAGGATTACTCGTGCTGAATTCATCTGGAATTTTCCACAGGCCTGCTTGCACTTACTTCAGTGTCTCTATCTTTCGGAGCCTCGTGGATTTCGGAACCGCTCTTTCCAAAAGAAGCTCTGTAGTAATTTTTGACATGTTTATCTTCGTCCTCCAGCTGCAATCACCAAGCAGCTGTAAGAACTCTTCTCGTAGCCCCCCTGGGAAAACAAACAGGGATAAGAAGAAATCCTTTGCGACCGACTCCAAAGGGGAGAAAAAAACGTGATGAGGTCGGCTACTGCTTCTGCTGCTGTGTTTGAAGCGCTCTTCTTCTACGGCTGAGATGAGAATAGTGGGGCTACTCACTAAGGTGGGCGCACACCCCAAACGAGCCCACCCAGCCCGTCCCAAAAGCTCGCTCTGCGAGCCACAGGCCAGCTGCAGATGAGCTGCGTGCACCGCGAGGGCTCTCCGTCAAGGGCTGTGCAGTGCAGCCAGGCTCTGGCCCGAGGACGGCCCCACAGCAGGGCTTAGGATAAGCTCACCTGCAGCAGCCGCGTCCTCTGGGGGAGGCGATACAGAACGCAGAGCTGCCCACACGACCGGACTCCTTGCCGGCAGCCTCCGCGTTCCTCAAACTCGGGATTAATGACCACCCATAGCAACACCCGCAGCTCGGTACGGCCGTTTCTTCGCCGAGCCGCCCTTAACGTAAGCAACTTCTATCTGCACCCGGCACAAAGCTCTGCCCTGCCGGCCCCGAGCCGCGTCCCCGCACCCCTCCGCACACAACAGACGCCGGACGCTCGGCACTCAGTGCTTCGAACGGGGCTGCGGCACGGCCTCGAGGAGGAAAACAAAAAGGCTGCACCCGAACGCGGCGGCAGAGCGGCAGCAGGTCGCCCCGGGCCCGGCCCGGCCGCGTCGCACTGCGGGCACGAGTCCCGCGCCAGGAAGCGCTCGGGAACAGCGGGGCCCCCCGCTCCGCTCCGCCCGGTGCCCCGCGACGCCCCGCCGCGCCGCGGCCCGGAGCGCCCCCGGCTGAGCGCGGCACTACAGCTCCCAGCGGCCCCCGCGGCGCACAGCAGCGCTACGGGCCCCGGCGGCGCCGCGAGGCATGCCGGGAGAGCGAGGCCGCCCCCGGCCCGGCCGCGCGGCCTGCACAGAGCCCGCGTGCCGCCCCTCACCTGCAGCGGGCCGGGCCGCGAGGGCGGGCAGGGGGAGAGAACGGCTGCGTCCCGCGCTCAGCCGGGAGGATGGAGGAAGAAGAGGATGAGGCGGCGGCGAGCGGAGGCGCGGGGCCGAGCTGCGGCTGCAAGGGGATCCGCTCCTGTCTGCTCTGCGAGGGGCCCGCGCAGGCCGCTCCGCCCACACAGGTAGCGGGGAGGGGGCGGCGGGGCGGGGCCGGCGGGGGGCGGGGCCGCACGCGGTCCTTCAGAATGTGCGGGACCCCCGCGATGGGCGCGCATCGCTGAGGGCGGCGCGACGGCGCTGCGCCCCGGACGGCGTCAGCTGCGTTCCAGCATCGCTGCGGGACGGAGACGGTACTACAGGGATGGGCTGTGCTCAGCATCCCTCGCGCCTCCGCGGGCCGGGCAAGCGGTTTCCACGTTGAGGCTTTGGGGTAATGAAGGGAAACGGCTCGTTATGAGAGCTTCCCCCCTCACGTGTTTGTCATCTCTTGTTATTTCTGCAGGGGGAGGATAATTTCACTTACTGTCCGGCAACGGGCTTAGCTGAAGGCAATGAGTGCTCCCCATTTGCTGGCTGGGCGTTTCCGTTCCCAGGAGTGTTTTTGGCGGAGGAGTTCATTAGCGAGGATGAAGAAGCGGAGGTGGTTGAACTGATGGACAGGGATGAATGGAAGCCCTCGCAGTCTGGTCGAAAGAAGCAGGTTTGGCTTTACAAGCACATTTCTTCTTAGATCCCTCTGCATTTCAAACCCAATCCACTTACGTATTTCATTAACAGCTCTTCTTTGGGAACTTTTTCTGAAATCAATTTCAAGAATGACTTCTCATTAAAATCAGCTGCTTGCAGAAGCAAATTCCAGTTGCGCATTCAGGCATTAATCATAGAATGGCCTGGGTTGAAAAGGACCAAGGTGCTCATCTTGTTCCAACCCCCTGCTATGTGCAGGGTTGCTAACCACCAGACCAGGCTGCCCAGAGCCACATTCGGCTTGGCCTTGAATGCCTCCAGGGATGGGGCATCCACAGCCTCTCTGGGAGAGCTCACACAGTTTTAGGTGAGAGAAGTAAGGGGTTTTTTTGTTTTTCTTTTTGCTTGCCAGCTAAGAAACCTAATTCCGGAGAGATTTATGTAGCCTGTCCAAGTCAGCTCCTCAGGGAAGCGATGCAGTCAACATCCCTGGAGGTTTTCCAGAAAAGGGCAGATGTGGCAGTGAGGAACACGGCTCAGTGGGCATGGTGGGGATGGGCTGATGGTTGGACTTAGTGGTCTCAGAGCTCTTTTCCAACCTTAATGGTTCTGTGATTTTGGAAACTGGTGAGGATCTGCTGGAAGAGAACAGAACTCAAAAGCCTTGACCCCATAGGGATCATAGCCTCGGGTCTTTCCCAGGTTTTCCTTTAATGCTGTCTTTTTTTTCCCCCTCTTCCAACAGGATTATGGACCCAAAGTGAACTTCAAGAAACAGAGGTTGAAAGCTGGTGGCTTTACTGGCTTGCCAAGTTTTAGTAAAAAGATTGTGGCACAGATGGAGGCCTGCTCTGTGCTAGGTGGCTTCATGCCTGTTGAACAATGCAATCTGGACTACAGGCCAGAAAGAGGTTCTGCCATTGACCCACATTTTGATGATTGGTGGCTGTGGGGAGAACGTCTGGTTAGCTTAAACTTGCTCTCAAAAACTGTGCTGTCCATGTCTTGTGATTCAGAGGACAGCATCCAATTATTTCCTACTTTCAGTAATGAAAACAGGGAATTAAATCCCCCTGGATCTCTTACACGAACGTCACCATGTAAGAATTCAGGCAAACAGGGAAGCAGCTGCCTTTTATCCCCAAGGCTCGTCCCAAGTAAGGAAGTGACTGTTGCCATTCGCTTACCCAGGAGATCTCTGGTGGTGCTGTATGGTGAGGCTCGCTACAAGTGGAAGCACGCCATTCACCGCAGGCATATCGAGCATCGGCGAGTGTGCGTCACGTTCAGAGAGCTGTCTGCAGAGTTCAGGGCTGGAGGAAGGCGTGAGGAGCTGGGCAGAGAACTGCTGGAGATAGCTCTTTCCTTTCAAGGGACACCGGTGTGATCAGCAAAGGGCTGCTAGAGTTGTGTCTTAAGAAATGTGAAAAATAAAAACCAGGGTTTGTGGAATTGGATTTATTTCTGAAGTGTACATAAGAAACTGGGTATGCGTGGATGTTAACAAACAGTTTTTGTGAAGGCTGTCCTGGGCAATGGCAGCTTCTATGTCATCCTGCTTTACTGTTACCTGCGCCCTAGGTCCACACCTGTCTTCTCACCCACTTCAGATTGTTCCTTGAGAGAGAAGCTCTCCAGGGGGCAGGCAAGCATCTCTCCACACATAGTACAACACTAAGAACTAATTAAAGTAATTATCCTTTGCTGAAGATTTATACTTTAACAGTGAGGATAAGCCATAAATGCTGTGTGTGACCTGTATCTCCTGGGACAAAAGAGCTGCATTTACAGAGGACCAATGCTGACTCTTCCACAGAGACAGCTTGGCAGAGCTCAGACCAGAGACTCTCACAGACTGTGTTATTTTCTGGTCGTTTGTCATCTCTGAACCCTGCTGTCAGCTCTCAGTACCGAGAGTCAGATTTTGGGAATAAGCTGGGCAACAGACTGCAGCACCAGTGGCTGTCATTCTTTTTCTTGGCACCTCCAGCAGTCAGGTGTGAATCATACCTTGTACCTAAGATTCAAGTCATCACTTGTAGCAGGCGCTGATTGAGGGCCATCTGTCTGTTCAGAACGAACTTCTGTGCTCTTGAAAATGAAGCTGTGCTGTGGAAGAAGCATGACACACAGTTGTATCATCAAAACCATTCAGCATTGTCACAGATATAGTAATGAAATGATACTTTGCAATGCTGTCTGGTTTTGTTAAGAAAAGGGGCTTGTTTCTTAGGTGAGATTTCAGCATCCTTGTACAGCTATATCCTGTCCTAGAAATACTCCCTTGGCACAGCACATGGTTTTTAACGTACCAGTAATGCATTCATGCTGCAGACTGCCCTCTGCTGCAGGCATTGCGGAGGAGGCAGCTCCTCAGCCCGACTAAACTAGGTTACTAAAAATCAGGTGAATCAGGACATTTGAAATGATGACTGCTGTGCTCCTTCAGGGCTGCAGTGAAGCTGTTTTAGTTTAGCCCTGTGTTTAAGCCGTTGTGGACACAGCTACACAGTGACTGCAGCAGGGATCAGCGAGCACTGCTTCCGTGGGCAGTCCTAAACTGCAAACCTCCACCCACACCCACAGCATCACTGCCTCAGCAGCAGTTCCAGCATGCCCTCTCTGACAGAAGGCTGTCACTGCAGTGAGGAAGCTGAGCTTTGTAAGAAGAAAATTCTCACTGAAATCTCAAAATTGCAATTCCTAACCTTTGTGAGGCAGGTTGGTGCCATCAGCCCTGTGCTGCCAGCACCCACGGGCTCAATAGCATGCTGTCTCCAGGCCCTCCATTGCTGCTACTGCACTAAAAGACATTGGGCCAAGCAGGAGATGGCTGGCAGACTGCTGGGGTTCAGCAGAGAGCTGGGCAAGGAAACCCATTCTGCAGGTAGGGCAAGCCTTGAGACCACATCTACCACCACCCTGCTGCCTTCTGGTGCTCAGCCTCTTCAGCAATCTGCTCTGCACATAGCAAAATACAGCAATCAACTGCTTCCATTAATGTTTGACCATTATTTCCAACATTCCCTTTTACTTTTCCATCATGCTCTCAGCTTGTGAGAGTCCTTCTGGCACGGGTACCCACTGTTTCATTGTCTCAGCAATGGGAGCAGATGCTGGCTGCTGATGAATCAGTGTGCCACGATAATGAGATAAACAATATTAGTTCATTTTGTGCTCTGCATTTGTTAGCTGAATTTTTCTTTGAGATGTACAGCAAGCTGCTGCTCTTGCCAGAAAATTCCAGCCCTGCCTACTCGATATCTTCAGTTTAAAATCTGCAAATAATTATCTTGCAAGCCAGGGCTTTGTCAAGATGGTTTTACAGTCCAAAACTTAATGTAGCCATGACTCAGTTACTGCTATGTCCACCTTTTATATTTTTCACCTGCTGAACGCTCTCCTTGGCACCACCTCTGTTCACACTGCAATTACAATTACAAACACATTGGCTCTGTTTGGCTTTTTAAAACTTTAGGAGAGAATGTACATGAAGAGCCACAGTTGTGCTGTGGGATTTAATGGTCAGGTCTGGATTATCAGTATTGCAGAAATTTAAGAAAAGCATAAGGAGGATTTAATTAATTAGGTGTTAAAAGTACTTTTGCCCAGTCTGTTAGTATGACAAACTTCAAATTGTAGGAATTCCTATCAGAGCTGTTTATCTTTTTAACCCCAATTAGCACTTGTAAAGCATGTGCCAAGAACCATTCTCTCATTAAAAGCAAGTGCACCTATTTGGTATCTCTTTGTGTGTTTTAAAAGGTCGCATGTAATATCTATGTCAGCTTTAAATAACAAGAGGTAAAGCACAAATGAACCCATAGAGGATGCTGGAGGACTTCAGCTAGCTTTCAAAAAAACAAAAACAAAAAACCCCACCAGCATGAAATCAGCAAGAAGCACAAAACTTAGCACATCTGTCTGGTTTTGCTCACAGCTGAGATGCATACCTTGTTCTACATGAAGCATTGCTCACGAAGAGATAAACCGGGTGCTGGTGAAGCACACATACAGAGGTTTGTTCTCTCCTAGTGTGCAGCAGTCAGCGCTGCACTGGTGGTCACAGCCTGGAGAAGGCGAGCTCTGAGCCCTGTGCAGGGTGTTCACTGGACGTTTCTCAGCTCAGCCAGTGTGTCACTGCAGGAGCCACTTCCTTGTCTGACATCACACAGAGGAGGCAGCCTGTGAGAGGATAATCAGAAGATAAGCACGGGTCTGTCTGTGTTTGTCCTGAGCTCGAGGCTGTGGCTCTCGGGAAGGCTGCTGAGGAAGCTGATTTAAGGTAAGGGAAGAAGATAACAAAGCTGTGAAAATAGAGAATCTTGAAACTTTTTGTTAGTTTAGGGAAGGGAGATGGGACATGGTGAAATCCCACATAAAACCACAGAAAGGCACTATGTGGGAGCAGCCGGCCCTGCAATCCACCAGTCTCCAGCTGCCCTCGCCACCCTGGGCCCTCAGAGCCAGGAAGCCAGGAGATGCATGCTCCACCATCTCCCTATCAGCTCTTCCACGTGTTGCAGCACTAAGCACAGCATGCTCTGCTCTGAGCCCTGACATCATTTCCATTGATCACATGGATTGGGTCCAGGCAGCCAGGTCTAGCATAGCTCTGTTTGCATCAGTGCTGAGGCTGCTGCTGCTGCTGCCCACCAAAGCAATGGGATGGGTTGGGACCTGACAGCCTGCCCATGTTAAAAATAGGGAGCAGGAGCTGCCACCAAGCTGGGCCAACAGGAGAACCTGACACTGCCCTGGGTGCCTGCCTGCACTCATGGCCAGGCTGGACTCCTGCTAATGAGGGAAGCAGCCATGGGGTGACACAAAGCTGCACTACCCCTTGCTCCCCTTTCCAGGAGGCAGCACTGCAGCACACGGTGGCATCTTGCTGCTGGCACGAGGTGCCCCGGGAAACATAAGGCCTGGGACGGGGTTGTGGCTGCTCCCTGCAGCAAGGTGAGCCCCGAGACCTGGCTGAGCTCTGCTGAACAGGCTGGAGGGATTGCCTAAGCAAAATGAGAGCTTGTGAGGAGAGCTGAGGGTGAGGGCAGCACCGCAGGGCCCCTCGCTGGTGCAGAAAGCAAACAAACACCATCCTGGCCCCAGTGCAGGAGCAGCACACACACACAAGTATCCCCGAGCTTACTCCATACCTGAAGACACATCGATGACAGACACCCAGGGCTGACTGGGACGAGGTGTTCAGGCCAGGCACGAAACATGAGCTGGTGCTGCCAGGCTGCAGGACAGCAGCACAGTGTGGAAAGGCAGGCATCTCCCTGCTGACTGATGGAGTCCTGCTGCCAGCCATGGGGCAGCAGCAGAAGCAGGGAAGATTTTCTGGCACCGCAGCACAGAAGCAGCCATCTGGACAGGCACACTGTCCCCACTCATTTACAGATTAATTAAGTCTCTGTCGTTGCTGGTACCACGGGAGATCTTACTGCAATGCAAGTCTGAACCCAACAGCAGTGAAAACATTAACAAGTCAGAGGAAGAGGTGAGAAACTGAGTGCTCTTGTTGGGAAAAGGACCAAGAGGACATACAGCACAAAGATGATGGGTAAGAGAGAGAGAACCCAGGTGGCAAAAAGCAAAAATACTCCCATGGAAGGGGAGAACCCAATGCCCACAGAGAAACAGAAATCAAAGCTGTGAGCGAATTGAGGAAAGCACCCCATTATGCAGCTTTAAGCATGTAAACCCTGGGGAAACCACCTGAAGCCCCTGATTCCTCGTGGTGAGGCAATCCCTCTCCAGCCACAGATCTGCTGCCTTGAGCCTGCTGTGAACCAAATCCCACCAAAGCCTCACCAGGGCGTTCTGCAAAGCCAAAGCACAGTCTCTGCTGCATTTCTCCGTCTGCTGAAATTTATTGTATTTCCATATGAGCTGCACTGCTGTCACAGCATCACGTACACACTGTGAGATTTGACAATTTCTTTATTACAAAAAAAAAAGAAAGAAAGAAAGAAAAAAAAAGCTACAGAACTTTCCTCTACAACTGATTTCAAACCTCCTGGGCTCCACAGCGCACAGAGACCAATTACTACTGCTGTTATAGAAAAAAATGCAAAGTACAGATATGACATTAATCCTATCTGCTGTAGCTCTGGCTTCGCAGCAGAGATTTTGCTGGAAGAAGAGCCTACGTGTGTAATACTTGGCAGAAAACTCAACTCTGATTTTGTTACGTAAACCTTTAACTTTTATTTTGGTAAGAAGAGGAGGAAGAGAGGCGGGCTGCTAGGGGATGGTACGAATTTCATGACCATCCACTTCCCGGAGGACACTCCTCATTTTTTGCATATGTGCATAAGTACAGGCTAGTCATGTCACACACAACAACTATTTTCTCTGCTGCACATCAGCCAATATGGTACATGCCAACCGTGGCAAGAACAACAGATGAAAGGCACAGACACGGTGCTAAGCAACTTGTTCAGCAATGCTC